CTTTCCCCCTACCTCTGGATATACAGAAGATTTTTCTTAATAATTTTTTTTTTCTTAATAATCATTTCTGTGGGAAAAGAAAATCTTTGAAAAGACAGTTAAGCCAAGCTCCTTGAACACTGAAAAGAAATATAAAAATACTTAGATCACACATAGAAATCCTTGAAATGTCCAGTGCAATAAAACTTGCATTTCATGGGGCCCATAAAATCTGCTCCAAAGCTGCCTAAAAATGGCTGAGAACAACTCAGAGAATGCTTGATTTAAATTATGAGAACTTTCTGATGATTCAAAGGACAGAAGAGATACGGCCACCATCAGCTCAGATTTTTTTTAAGCACACTCACTCTTGTTTTCCTTATGTCTGATTGAATGACATATTAAAGCATATTAGAACAGGCTTTCCAAAATACATCCTCTACCCAAACAATACAAATAGCAGAATAGCACTGAGCTGTGGCAGGTGTCACCAGATGGTGCTCTTCCACCAACTGTCAAATGTTTGCCTTACTATAAGCAAGTTTTGACACTTAAAAAGATGTTGTTCTAGTGTTAGTTTGGATTATGTGAGAATCTGCCTAGAAGTAATTTAATGATGGAGGGAGTAGAAAGAAAATAGCAAAGTTTGCTTTCCATTTAGGGTTAAGTTGCTGACGGACTAAAATTCCTAAGAGGCTCTGTGGGCATCTTCCATTTCAGAGTGCATTCATGTATCAATAAATCAGTTTATGTCTATTCAGGCACTATATAGCTAATAGCTGCATTCTGAAGCAGCTTATAGATAGTTCAGAACATCTTAAGGGTGTGTGTAAATCGTTGACAGCTACTAGTGTCATAATGAGGTAATAGTATCAGAAGATTTGTTAATGGTTTTGATCCTTTTTTTTTCTTCTTTTTTTTCATTAGGAGAGGCTATTCTAGAAGTCAACAAAGTGAAATAATTCTTGACACAATCATTCTTGATGCTTCTAATTCCCAGAAAGGTCCTATTTACTTGAATATTGCAGGAATCAGGTAAGAAATGGGAATGTCTTTGTTCAGCACTTCACATACCTTCCCACTCAGTCTTCAGCCTATTTTCCTATTTTTTGCTCAGCTCTGTTCAAGGTTTCAGCTCAAGTGCTTACCTTGCATTTGTACCTTTCTGTCTTCCTGCTTCATCACTGGTATTTTCTTTTGCTCCTTTTACTACTTAGCTGTCTTTTCAATTGTCTTTCACAAAAATTGACATGAAAAAGAAAAGGCAGAGAAACTCCTCTACCTTAGACAGATTTTCTCTTGAGAGTGAAGTGTACCAGGGAGAAGTCTTTTATTGTTCCAGATTATCTGGCTCTACAGGAGAACTTAATTGTTCCTTTTTATGACTATTTCAAGTGAAGGATGTGCCATACTGTTATGACACATAGAAGGTAAAGTCTAAATCCATATATTTTGCCTAAAAAAATCAAAGATGAAAATATACACCACTCTGCCCCTGTGTAAGGGTTTGTTCCAAGAGAGACAGTAATCCAGCAGCCTGTATTCTTTTGTTCCTTCAACACCAAATAAATCTGAAAGCTTGATTCTATTTACAAAAGTTTTATCTTTCAAAAATATAAGTTAAGTTCTTGTGCTTTTTGTTTTTCAACAATTCCCAATCAGATTTGCTAAGTCTAAATATAAACAAGACAAAAAAATTCTCTCCAGAGCCAGCTTCACAGACACAGCTGTGATCTAACTGAAATTTAATACCCTGGCCAAATCGAGGCCTGCATGACGCACTTACAGTGCAATTGTTCTCATTTGCTTTGTACTTTCTCTGGTGAAGACTCAATGACTCAGACTTAATTAGCTGTTCCGCAGATGATACCTGAGCAGAAAAAGCCCACTTCATTCTCCCAGAGATTAATTTCTCCTGACTGTAAGAGCTACAAATGCCCTGAGACTTTCAAAAGAAAAGATGTGTAATAGCACTGTCCTGAACAAATTCCACTGTGAGTAATTGCTCTGTGTTAGCCTGTGCTCTGCCTGTCCTTGTTTGGACCTTGCAGTGTGTACCTACATGGAAACAGAGCTGTCCTTGTGGTCTCCATCCTTCCCACCAGCCAGAACAGCTGCAAAGCAATCAGAACTCCAGACGCTGGCAGAGCAGAGCTGAAAGAGAAAGGTTTAAAGCAGACAATTTGCTGCTTTTCAGTGCAGCTTTTCTAACTGCTCGCATGTGTTCTAGGCTTTTATCATGAATATCCATGATTCTCCATCATTAACTTCAATTTTTTCTTGGCAGCTCTTACTCCACAGTCAAAAATGATCCAGAACTGTGATGGTTGCTTGAGGTGTGTTATATTCAGAACTGTTATGAATTCTTAATAATGCTGAACATTAGAAGAATGAAATTATTAGGGCTAGATATGAGGTTTCTGAACATGTTTATTTCCCTTGTGCCGAAATGATAGCCATCGTGTACCAGTTATGAAAACAAACTAGCTTTGATCTCCATGAGGATGGTTTCCAGGGAAGGGGTCTCCTTGGTAGCCTGGAATTCCAAGTGAGCATGGCAGGAACTCTCAAAATCAAACTTCTTGTAACGTTCCTCCAAAATCAAAGATTCCCAAATCACAGAATCATAGAATGGCTTGGGTAAAGGGCCTTAACAAGCATCCATTTCCAATCCCCTGCCATGGGCTGGTTGCCACCCACCAGATCTGGCTACCCAAGGTCCCATCCAACCTGGCCTGAGCACCTCCAGGCATGGGACATGCACAGCTTTTCTGGGCAATTTGTTCCAGTGCCTCATCACCACCCAGGTAAAAAATTCCTAAATGTCACCAGTGGATGTAATAGTAGGCATGTTTAAAATATCATTGTGCAAAGTCATCTGTGATAAAAGGGCACTATACTTTGCAAAACATATCAGCCTGTATGATGGGACGCAATGATCTGCTGCAGCTCCTGACACAATGGCTACTGTAACAGGTCTGTGACTTTTTCATTTCACAGTCTTACTTCCACAAGTGATAACTGGAAATTTGCCATTGCCTAGCAAATGGCTTCTTATGCCTATTACATTTAAACAACAGAGGAAGGGGGATTCAGTATAAAAAGCTGGTTTACAACCAAGACAACAAAGAAGACAAAAAGAGTAAATGCACAAAGAGGAAGACACTGCTGCTGTGCCTAGCAGTCTTGCTGATTCCAGAAATCTAGATGAAAACCTTCATGGCAGGAACCATGTTGTTATGGATCAGGAAGGAAGTCATCTATGTGCTCGAGCTGCCAGGCAACAAGATGGGCTGCAAACAGGATTCATCCAAGAAGTGATCCGCAGAAAACAATGCAACAACAACAACAGCAACAACAACAACAAAAAAAAAAAAAAAAAAAAAAGATACTAACTTCAGGAGGCTTGGGTTCAGTCCCCTACACTTGGCTCTGGCTTCTCTGGGAATCAGGAACACGACTAAGACACAGTCATGCATTATGGAGGCACAGAGCCGTTATCAAGAAGACCATGTTCAAAAGAAAGTGATGCAGGGACTTGCCTTCATCTATCATGCAGAATTTATGGGTACAAAACAATGTCCTTTAGGCCTCCTCAACACAGACACAATTGGAAAAGTACCTAAACCTACCTAACAGTGTCTGCATAATGAGTGGAGCTTGTGCTATTGCTGTTAGAATTCCACCTCATGTTTTAACTCTTCCTATGAGAAGGCACAAGTATGTATTAAAATATACTGTGAAACTTCATGGCTACATCTGGTGGTGACCCACTCTGATACTGTCAGGAGTCCAGGCTCAACTGCAAAAAAAAGTTTTGTGGTTATAAAATAGAAAAATAAACCAACCTTTTTAGTTCAGCTTCATGAGGTCAAGATTAATAAAGTCAAAAAATCAAGACAGTAAGCAGAACGTGGCTAACCTTCACAGATCAGAAAAGAGCAGGGAAGGGGAAAACTAAAACTGAACCATCTAGAGGTTTGTAAGTATTAAATCTAGAGATCTGAGGAAAGTGAGGTTTTTCTTTTTTACACTGGATCCCTCTTGGGACTTTTTAAAACCTAATTGGTATTTAGAAGATTGATTATCTGAATGTCATAGGGGACAAGGACTCTGAATAATCAGGTAGATTTGCATCACAATTAGGTATTGGAAAGCAAAGCTTTGTGGAGCATTTTATTGAGGTTTGAGTAATCAAAGATGAGTTGTAATGACAATAGAGATACAGTTTTGTGTTTTCATGCCTTTCCTTTTGATTTCCTAGCCACATGTCAGGTGCAGGAATTGTGAATATTGAGAGTTGAAGCTTTCACTGCAAGGAGGAAAATGTTTTCAGTTCTCATGAAGAGAGGGCTGTTTCCAGCGCAGGTTTCATCCCTCCCTTGCCTTCCATGCAGTTAGCCTCTAGTTGACAGTGTTTCCTACTTCTTATTAATCCTTTAAAATGCTTCTTCGAAAGGGAATTTTACAGCAATATTGTGGCTCAGGAATCTTGTTTCTAAGCTGGTATTTCCTTTCAATAGCTTCGTTACAACCTGTCCAGGCCGCTGCCTCTAGGTCAGCACTTCTTGTCCTTCTTTCCCGTGTGTTTGCTTCAATCTCTGCGTGACAAATGAGAGCCTCATAGCTCCCCGTGAGCAGAAAGCAGATACGAAAGCGTGCATTGCTCACGTCAGTCTCTTGGGCTGCGCGACAGTTTTCTGCAACTCTAATTAAGACATGGACTGCTGTTACACCAGGATGCGGACCAAGCCAGCCCGGCGTATTTTTGCTTTTATTATGATCGTTCCGATCAGCACGGCCAGCCTCCGCTTCGCTTTGCTGCCCTCCAACGGGTGGAAGAGGCGATCCCTGGCGGCCGCGCTCCGAGCGAGCGGTCACATGAGGAGCCCCCGCCCTCCTTCCCCCGCACCCCCTTGCCGCGAATGGCACGGCCCGGATGCGCTTGTACGCAAGGAGGGTGCGGGCGAACCATTGAGCGGGGGTGGGGGAACCCGGCAGCCGCCGGCCGGGAAGAGCCCTTCGGGCGGGCGCTGCGCTGCGGTGCGGCGGGGGGAGCGGACGTGACAGGCGGAGGGCGATGGTGGTTCCCCGGGGACAGGAGCATCGGGCCCCGCAGGAGGTACCGTGGTCGCGTCTCTCCCCGCTTCTCCCTGGCGGAGAGGCCCGGCTTCCCCCGGCCGCGCGCCGTGGGGCCGCTCCCGGGGCTTCGTGCGGCGCTGCGTTGTGCTATGGGGCCGGGGGGAGCCGGGCCCGGCGGCGTCGGGGCTCCCTTGGGTCAGCCGTGCGTCGTGACATTGCTCGGCCTTTCGTGCCTGAGAGGCGGGGGAAGGTTCTGGGAGAGCTGGTGGGGAATGGGGGGGGGGGGGGGCGAGGGGTGTCTGCAGCGTGCGGTGCCCGAAGGAGGGCCCGCTGCCTCGTGTCCCGGTTTACCGGCCTGCCTGTGAGCCCTGGGTGCTCCCTGCCTCCGCTGGGTTCTGTGGGTCACCGTCCCTTATCATAGAAAAACAAATTAAAAAACAAAACAAAAAAACCTAACATTTTTAGGGGAGCACTGCCTTGGTAAGGAATACCCAACCTACCCCTAGCAAAAACTAGATGAATTTTTTTTTTTAAAGCCATACTTTGTCTAAAATTGCCTTGCCTGAACTGTGGAAAGCCACAACAGATTATCTACTGGTTTTTCTCTAAGAACGAATAAATAAATAAATAAGTAGATGTGGTAATGTGGGCTGGGCTGTCATGTGAAGGCTGAAATTGAAGGAAATGTACCTAACTGAGAATAAATGACCTGTGTTACGGCCATTGGGACAGGGTGCAGACCTGGAGTTTGGATAGGAGAGGCAGATTGTAGTATTTAAATGGGTGGGGAAAAAAAATGTGGCATTTAATCCATGCATTCAGTACTTCTTTAATATTTTTCACTGAAACAACCGAGTTAATGGCAGCCCATGGTTTCTCTAACTTGTCCTATGTTAAGATATTTAAGTCTGGAAAACATTCATAGGAAGTACGAGGGGAGAAACGTTGAATGAGTGTTCTGTTGCTCATTTGTCAGGTTGAAACAAGGGAAGATGAGGAACAAAACATCAAGCTGACGGAAATTTTGGAACTGTTGGTGGCTGCTGGGTATTTCCGAGCAAGAATCAAAGGGTTATCACCCTTTGACAAGGTGAGGCTAATGCATTATTTTACAAAAACCTTTTTTAAGTATATGTGGATTACGTTTTTATTTCAAATTAGTTTAGCAAGTCTAGGTGACTCTTTTTCAAAAATAAAATACATTTGCAACATTGGCTTTGCCATTTAAATGTGTCTGCACATGAGCCCTTTTCAAACAGTATGCACCTCTTATGTTTTGTAAAACATTTTTATGCAATGAAGTCTGTCTTAAAAGAGACAGCTGGGTTCAAACCAATTGCTGATATGCTTTTCTGTGCATGTTACGGCTTAAGTTTGAGTCATGTAGGGAATTCTGCACCTCTGTCAACTGCAGCTAAAACTACTAGGAATACCTGATGTTTGGAGATAAACACTTCTTGTTTTTTATAAAAAGCACAATAATTTTTAAGAGAGAGAGATTTGTAGCGAGAGAATTTGTGAAAGAACAGAATGGTTATTTTAGTGAAATTATTTTGGGGCTGTTTTACGTATCCGTAAAATGTCATGTGTATCAAGCATTCATTGTCCGAGGCAGGAAGTATGTGATAGTGACAATGAGCAAAGTTCAAGCTGAAAAGAGACTTCTGAATTGTTTTAGTGCTGACACTGTGAGAAGTTCCTGCACAGAGGTTTGAGAGGAGTTTTTTAAATGGACACTTCTGTTTTCTGCTGTTCCTTTGCTCATAGCACAGCTATATTTTCCAGTACAGCTTCAGTTTCTGAGAATTCCATGGCATTACTGATCTTAGGTGTTACAGAGGCTGTGCACGCACACACAAAGTAGTTCCAAGGAGACTGCCTTGGGGTGTAATGCTGCTTTTCTGCATAGAAGTGTATGCATCAGGTTTATACATGCCTGAATGCAATTGCAATTGACAGTGCCCAACTTTTACAAAGCAAGCATTGCTATTGAAAACAACTGGCTGCTAAGATGGAAAGAATACTGGTTGTTTGTCAAGAGGGCTAATTAATCTTAGAAACCTTGTAAGTATGATGTTAAGTTTTTCTATGTTTTAAACTGTTCCTTATGCTTATCATATTCGCATACATTTAGGTTACATTGGATATGTTTGCACGAGATTGTCTTTTAGTACTTTAGTGTTTAATGAAAAGTTGATTAAATGGCTGAGGAGTTTAAATATGCCTAAGTAGCTCTAGGAACAGGGTCTGAAAATGTTCTCTACAGAGTTAGGGATGTACATGACCATTTTTATACTGCACACATAGCGCTTGGTGTTACGAATGTCAGCATTTAGGATTGTAGGATATATTTGTTTCTGTCTCTTCAGGTTCCCTTGGCACTAACCATGCTGTTGCTCCTCTGGTAGGTTGTAGGCGGTATGACGTGGTGCATCACTACCTGCAACTTTGATATCGATGTTGATTTATTGTTTCAGGAGAACTCTACTATTGGTCAGAAAATGTAAGTTGTTGAAATGGCAACAGTGTTCTGTTTTGTTTTGTTTTTTGTTCAAAGGAAAGAAGAAAGGATAGGAAGAATTATCTGATATTTGCCTGTTTGTAATGAGGATTTTCAGTCAAAGTTTCTTCGTTTTCAAGATCACTAACTTTCAAAACATTCTGTGGGTTTCTGGGATACTCAGGCTGTGGTTCTATGAACTGTAAAACCAGAAAGAAGCTTATTGTAAATAAAGGCAGTGTTACCCCCTCTGGGATGCTGTGCTCTTACGTATCCCTACTATGCAGCAAAAGCATTTATGTGGCTGAATAACAAACTGGATTGAGAACTGATCCAGCTTAAAACCTACCGAAAAAAAAAAAAAAGGAAAATAGTTTTAACATGAATCAGTTACTGGCTCCAGGTTTCTATGCAGCTGTACAGATGCTTGTGCTGGCACAAGGGATGATGCAGAGGCCAAAACAAAGGACAGAAAGACCACACTGCTGGAAACTGGAAACTGTGGAATGCAACAGTAGAAGACCATCCTTGAGTTCCCTGTGTCTGCAGAAGTAACCTCTGATTCCTCTGTCTGATTCTGGTTTGCAACTATAGGCATCAGCAGACAGAATCTAAAGCATGACATTGTTGCCAAAACAGTTACCTATCCTTATTGTGCCCTAATGAGACCATTTTGTTTCAGTATAATTTCTCATGCAAGGAATTCACAGGGATTAGCTGGTTTAGGAGTATTTGGAAAGGCTGTGAAAATCATTTATGAGAAAAATTATGAGAGAGAGAATCAATTCTGAACTGCATTATTTCTTTGTGTTTCTGTGATAAGAGCCATAGTTAAAATTCGTGGAAAGTAAGTTATAGTTATAGAAGTTATAGAAGAGACTTACTTTCTCCATGTAGTTGGAAAGAGTCTGTACTGTTTTCTCAAAAATCATTTAGCATTGGCAAGACTTTAATGCATTTAGAAGTAAAATTTGTTGTTACTCCATTAAATTTAGAACTACTCGATCATCACAGCTACATAAAGCAAAAAAACACACAATTAAATTTAGACAAGCGATGAAGATGGTTGTGGTGGGTTTTCTTGTTCTGGGCTTTTTTGTTGTTAGCTGCCAAGAAAATGTTTCTTACCCTTAAGAACAGGAAATAATTAAGTTATTCTTAAAATGTTCTTTTCTCTCTCCAACTGACTGCATGTAAAACTGGCGAAACAAAAACCAAGCTTAACTCCCACAGCAGCAGAAATGATTTATTTGTATTTTGTAAAGGCGCTATTCCAAGACTCTAGTCTGTCTCATCCCTCTTCTTCCTCTTCATTTCTGACAGAGTATCAGTTGTCCATCTGATCTGAGCAGTACAGGATATCACTGAAGTCGGTACTGGGCCACTTAATTGTTTTCCTTCATGGGAAAATCTAATTTCTCCATGTTCATTCTTGATGCTGACACCTGCTTTAAAATGCAGTGTAGAGTACAGGCAGCAAAAAAGGCCTCGCTCTACAATGAGGGATTTTTTTGAAAGCAGAATGATGTTCTTGTAGGTGGATCCTTTGTTAGTATAACCTTTTCATTTCACCAGATCGGAGTGAAATAATTGCTGGTAAATTCAGTTTTATCCACTCCAAACCACAACCATATGAACTGTACTGTGCTTAGCAGTTAGGTGTAGTACATATTTGTACTCCTAAACTTTCAGTAATGATATTGGGATAATTTGGCAGTTTTATTAAACAAATTTTTAAGTCCTTAGAAGGGATGTTTTAGTCTTTGAATGCATATCTTTTATGGAGTATTACTAAAAGACAGCATACACACATAGAAATAAACACTGTATCTAGCATTTTGTATCTTAGGTGAGCAATTTCATCTGAAATGACAGGTGATTTAATCATTGCTGGGGAATATATAGTGCAATGTAGAAGTTACTTTGTAACTGAAAGTTAGAGCTGTATGCAATGGAAGCCACTAGAGGGAACTTTCTAACTACTAATTGTGTTTGCAAAAATAATTGGAAATTTTCAAGAGAAAATTGGGGTACGTGTGCATTTGTGTTCATCTGTTTTTGTTTGGTTACTTTTTTTTTTTTTTTTTTCCTCCTAATAGTGCCTTAACTGAAAAAATTGTGTCAGTATTACCAAAAATGAAGTGTCCTCATCGTTTGGAACCGCATCAGATCCAGGGTCTGGATTTCATTCATATATTTCCTGTTGTACAGGTAATAATTGTGCTATGTATCAATACTTTGCTGAAAAAGGCCATAAAATTTGCGTTCAGACTTTAACAAGGTTCCATACCATAGTACTGTTTGTCTCTTTATTTAACTTTGAAATGAGTAATGATAGAAAGGTAGTTCAAATGAATGCTTTTGAAGAGCTGAATGGCATTATAGATGTTTAGTATAGTATAGTATTAGTGTGGTATAGTTTAGTATAGATTATAGATAAGAAAAACACAGATACTGAATTCTTTGAAGTGTCTCTTGTGGTATTTGTCTGCTTAAAAGACCTGAAAGACTGTATGAGTGGAAAAATAAATTCCTCTGATGTGACCTATTGCTGTATGTTTGCTGAGCAGCACTGACCACATGCATGCTCATAGTTCTCCATTTTATTAAGATTCAGACTGACATGTGATAAGATACCACATGTAAATGGAACTTAAGAATGCTTGGTATGTTATTATCATTCTTCAGACTTTAACTTCATCTGCACACAAAAACGTATTCCTCATAAAAAGGGAAAGCGGAGGCAGTCTGGCCAGGCTTTTTCTTTATCTCCTTTCCTCCTTCCTGTGAAAGAGTGTAGCAAGCAAGAGTTTCATATAAATTCCAGTTTATAAGAAGCAAGGAGAACTTCCTGGTTTTCTTATCTTGTAGTGAGAGGCTCTTGAGGGAAGTTACTCTTAACTCTCTTTCCCCCAGACATGCTACTAGTACACAGCTTTCAAGCTGTAATCTTCCTGCTTACAGAGGTGAACTTGTATTTTGTCAATGTGATTTTGTGCTTCTGAACTTCTATCCTACTGGTGAAGAAAACCTACCTCAGATTAATTTCTTGCCCTGATCAATTTGAAATGATAATAATTGGCTACATATATCGTATAAATGACATCTCTCACAGGAAGAATAATTCCTGTCCTAAAGTGAAAATGTAAATTATAACTTCTGCTCCAAAAAATGTAGCACCCGGTATTCTTTTCTCTTAACCTCCTTTGTCCAAAATTTGATTTAGGATGTTACTTCTGGACACTCGGTCTTAATTGTTAGTACAGCTAATCCATGCTTGGTCAAGAAAGTCTTTCTTGGTGAACGTAAGTTGTTGGTTTAAAAGATCATTTTCTGGAAAAGTGGCTTTCTGTCATTTTCTGGAAGGCCGCAGGATCTTAACAGGCCTAAGGCACCACGGCTTATAGGAATTGTGTATTTGATAATGACACTTCACTCAATTCATAGCTGTTTTCAATATTCACTTACTAACTATAAATCACAAGGCAGTCCTCAGGTGATACAGAAGCTCTTTCCTCTGCTTAGAGTTGTGTTCCAAAAGCTTTTGCACTGTGCAAGCTAGTCCAGTGAACTCAATAGCAGGAATTTAGCTGAATCCTTCTGAATAGGAAGAATTAAATTGTCCTGGCTCACTGCCACAGGCTGTAAAAGATTTTTTTCTTTTTTAAAAAATGGGGGAAAAAAAGCCTTAAAAAGTCAGAACCCAGTGAGCAGATATGGTGAAGTTCTTCTGAGTGAATTCTGCTTGTGTTTACAGAGAAAAGTACATACACAATCTTGTGTGAAGGTGTGCTTTGCAATTTATAGCCTATATTTTGAGCTCTCTTGTTGTCAGCGTGCTCCCTTCGCTTTCGTGTTTATAGCGCAGAAAACTGGTTTTGGCTCAAACTTGAATCCCAAGTTGGATCTGATCTCTGATGTGACCTGCTGCACAGGCTGTCAACAGCTCACAAGATTTATCTTCTCTGACATTATTTAAAGTGTACTTGAATCTCCTGTGGCTTTTTGTGTGGTCTTATAAATATCTCAAGAAGTGTTTTTGTCTTTCGCAGGCATATGGTTCTTGAAAACTTCATAGGCTCAAAGTTGCATTGTTTCACAGTGGAGCTGTAGTTTGTGAAAAAGATCAATGATCTGTAACAGGAAAAAGTAGTTGAAATGTGTAGAGCCTAGATGTAGTGGCTTCTACCTGGGGCAGAGCCAATACTCATGAGGTCACATCCTAGTGGTGTGCTATGGACTAATGAGAAAAGACAGATTCTGTGCTGGGTCCTAGCACTGAGAGCCCAGATCTGTTCAGCTCGTGATTATGTCCAATTCCAGCTCATTTGCGTCCACTCTGACTGCTCACCTGGGCTGTGAGCAGTTCAAGCTTGCTTTGTAGAAGAACGTCCACATACTATGTAGAAGCTACCTGGACTATCTTTGTTTTATAGTGTGCTTCTGAAGGAATCTTTGGAGTAAATAGGGGTATACCTCTGCCTGCATGCAGAGTATAGTCTTGTTTTTGTGTCTGTGCTGTAAACACATTACTTTCTGGAACCAAAGGCTGTGCCGTAAGTAGTGAAGCAAAGGGACAACCCTGATGGCTCATATAGCATGGTAGTGTTTTGACTATAGAATGTGATATAATTTTTGCTGGCTGATAGAATGGATGTCATGGTCTGGTGAGTTTGAGCTACACTGACTGTTCCATGGTATAAACAGAAATGCCAGAAAACTGAAGTTCCACTGTTTTGTGTACTACTGTGGTTTTGCTCTATATTATGGAAGTACAATGTTAATAATGTTTAACAAGTAGTAATGATGAATACTATTGAAAATCTAATTACTTAGTATCCTGGTCACAAGTACATTGTAAAAGTGTGTTACTAGCTAAAAGTGTGCTACTGTGAAGTAGTAGCTTCTTCCTGCTAGGATATAAAGTTCCTCCAACTCATATTATTAGAAGGAATAAGGAGGGCTGTAGATCTTTTGGGGGAAGTCAATTATTGATTTTTTTTTTTTTTTTTCTTCCTTAAAAATGCAAGCTAAATGAATAATGCTGAAAGTGATACATGCTTATTTGCATTTCAGAGACTCATCATTTTTCTTTTTGGAATACATTTAGTTGAGATGCTAATATTTGGATCACACAAATCGATCTTGGTAGAATTCAGATGAACTTTACTTGTAGTTGTGAAGATTTCATGGTGTTTATAAATCAGTTTGACAGCTGAGAATTCCTAGTAGTTGAAGCTTCAATACTTTCAATACTTTCCATACTTCTTGTAAGAAATTAATTAAAATATAAAAGCAACTCAGTATATGAGAAATTGCACTACAAGCTAACTATAGGGGAAATCATGAAGGGGCATAACTAATTCTGCAATACTGTTTAAAATCACATACATAGAAGTGTTTTGGGGGGGCCCCGCCCGGGGGGGCGGATCAGGCCCCATACCAAGAAGTGTGAAAGGGGAGTCAGTTCAGTCTTTAGCCTGTTGAGCCCCTCTGTAATATGAACAGAGTGGCTCAGAAGTGGTTTGTGTTGTACAATATAAGAAATTCAGCAGAATGAAGGTTGTTTAGGTGTTTACAATGTGAAATTACCACTGCAAGGGTAGCCATGTGATTTCTTATAATTTCTTATTAGTTGTGTGATTCAACCTTTCATTCCTCTCTTTAATTCATAGAGGAATTGCCAACATGATGCTTATACAGTAGCTAATGCTGGTCTTTATTTATCCTTTTATTAGGAGTAGGTCCTTCAGTTACCATCTTCACAAATAAATTTTCTTGTTTGTGTTTTTCTTTACTGTATTAAAAACAATTATGCAGCAGTTCAATGTTGGCTGTTGTTGTCTTCCTTCCTTTTCCCACTGATGCAGATTTCTTTTTCAGTGGCTGGTGAAACGTGCAATAGAAACAAGGGAAGAAATGGGGGACTATATCCGTTCTTACTCTATATCACAGTTTCAAAAAACTCATAGACTTCCAGAGGTAAGACAGAAAATAGTTTGCTGTTCTGTTACAGTATGTAGAATGCCTTAGTGCATTATCAGCATCACAGCTCTGTGAAGTGTTCGTGCCAACTTTCTTTTTCTGTAATATAGTAATGAGATCCCCTAGAAGGACTAGGCTTGCATAAATGTCAGATATTGTATAAGCAGAGACCAAAAAGACTGCCACTCTGGATACAGTTTTAAAGATGTGCCTACCTAGCAGATGTGAGGAACAAATATTTTTCTGCTATAGGAAATCACTAGCATTTCAGCGAACAATTGGTCAACTCAGTTAGAAAGTATTTGACAAATTTGTTTGCTAAACTTATTACAATGGTTGAGATTAAGTCTTCATTCCTGGTATTTTTAATCACCTCTGATGTCTTGCAGGATGATGAATTTATGCAAAGAAAAGAGAAGGCTATCAAAACAGTTACTGATATCTTTGTAAGTAAATTATTATTATTTTCTAATGATCAAGAAGCAAGCAATTTTAGTAATGAATGATAGTGTTTGGTTTAATTCTGCTTGAAGCATCTGCTCCTGGATTTTCTCCTGAGAAGCTCCTATGCTGAATATCATTCTCAGGAAGGGTTACAGAAGACAGCACTTGATGTTGGAAACCTTTTAGGTACATCTAGGTAAACCACCAACACAGTGCAAGGTGTTCCATGCTATCAAACATATCAGAGGGTTGCTTACAGGTTGTTCAGCCTTCACTGGGCTGTTTGTCTGAAGCCATCAGCAACTGGGCTTAATTTATTTTGAATTTTATCAAAATGGCAGTGATGTCTTGAGTTTAAATGTCTGCATTTCAGACCTTGTCATTTTTACTGTTTGAGTTAGCAGTGAAAATATACACCATGCTTCGGGGAAGTTATCTTCAGGTAGCAAATGTTGACTTGGAAAGATGGTATCCATTGGGCTCTTCCTCCTTCAATCCAGATCCTCCAACTCTGTCTATATATTTGAAAGCTTTTTAACAAATGCTTCCAGGATGTGTCATTGCCTCTTATCTGAATTCAGAGGCCTGGCCAATAGCTCAAATTTCTGTCCTTGCTTGCTCTCTTATTTTTGCCAGCTTGCTTGCAAACATGTTTTGAGAAATGATGAGAAATGTAGGTGTGCTTTGAATAGGGCACTTCCAGGAGTCTTCCAAAAAGTGGTGAAAATGCTGTTCTTCTGGGAAAATCACTGCTATTTCAGGCAGCTCCTGCCAGGTGTTCTACACTCTCATTTGTGGATAGAGGTGTTAAGTGCTGGTATGATGGGCAATGTGATCACTTGTTTAGTGGACTGCACCAGACAAATCATCTTATTCTTTTGTCATATTTTGGAGGCATTTATTTTTCCAAATGAACTACGTGAGTACTGCTGAACTGAATGTTATGTGGTTGAATTAATGTATGTTTTAAAAGGGCGTTGCTATAAATGTCCTCAGATGATGACCGATGTGTGATCTCTCACTAATATGTTTGAATAATTATTTCTGCCATGACAATTTTAATTATAGGCAGTAGTAACTGTTTTACCCATTTCAGGATGGTGGTTTTTTTTTTGTTCTTGAGATATTTTTGTTTGTCAGTTTTGTTGGATTGTTTGGTTTTTTTCTGGGGGGTGGAGGGAGTTATCTCCATCATAAATGGGTGTGATTGTTTTATCTGTATACCAGTATAACCTTCTAAACAGAGGGAACAGAAGATTAATTCATGAGATCTTTTAAGGTATCAACACATGAGTGTAGTCCAGAGGAATGTGGAGAGTGAATTTTAAGGAGAAAAGGCACACAAGCTTTCCTGTCTGTCTGTAGAAACTGGAAAGAAGGATATAATCTCAAGACTTCTGCAGGTCACCTTTAAATTGCCTTACAGTGGAATTGGAAGAGAAATCAACTTTCCTAAAAGAGAATCACCATGTGTGAAAGATTAGGCTGTTGTCTGAATTCATCGTTAGACCGGTGCTCTAAGGACCTGCCCTTCTTTACTCAGAGGGACAGTACAGTGTGATTTATGGTCCCAAGGTTAGAAAAGGGAATATTAAATATCAGTAATGATTATTACAGTAAGTACTGCCATAGAAAAGTGAGTGTCTATTAAATGGAAATTCTCTTACAGTGACTTTGTTCAAGTACTTGATTGGCTAATGCCAAGGCTAATGTTAATGGTACAGTGGCTACACTTTATATACAGTATTTTGTACCACCGTAAGAGCTATGACTTTCATTGCTTTTCTGTGGGTGTGCAAATGCATGTTGTGGGAGTTTCTTCATGGCAAAAGGCTTGTTGATGTCACTGGTAAAAATGTAACAATGTTTGAAACAAAGATGACAGAAATTCAGATTGGAAACAAGTGAAAAATTGTGAAGAGTAACTTCCAAATTCAGGAGAAATTTGCCAAGGAATAATATTCTGATTTGTTTAAAATCACTACTTTGGGATTATGGGTCTTTGAAAGAGGTTGAAAACTGGTTTAGCAAGGTTAAAGTTCAAGAACTGTAGAAAATCAGTTTGTGTTGTATACAAGATTATATCAAGCAAAGCATAGTCACTTTTATTTTCCTTTGCAACTTCTTGCATTGAATCATTTGTCCTGCGTGAATAGAATTGTTTGAAGCTAAGCATATTTAAAAAAGCATACATAAAAAGCACAAGCTTCAACTCCATCTTTTATTTTAGTTATGTGTTTGTTTTAACCATTCTGAGCCTGGCTCTTAAGGGGTTTTAAATTATTCCAGTGTAAAACAAACAAAAGGAAATAAAGCTGTTGCTTTTTGTTGTTGACTCTTTGGTAATGATGATGAAGTTTTTCTCTGCTGTGATGGAGGTTGGAACTCCCTCTCAGGGGGGGAAAAAAGAAGAAAAGGATAAGAGTAAATGTCAACTTGTGGTGTTCCATGAATCCTTGTTTTGTTGATGGATTGCCATCCAGCTCTAAGATCACCATAGGATAATAGCACGAGATTTTAGCAAAAAGATTTGTTAGGATCATTTTGTTCCTTAAATGGCAGTAGGATCTGCTTTAGTTCTTGTGACTGGATAAATCTGTGGTGATTGTGTAGATAATGGTTATATTTAATTAATATCATTACAAGTAGAACTGACTAGTAAAAGAGGAAGGATTCTATACCTTGGCATTAGGAAAATTGTAGACCCTTCATTACTTTTTTTAGTAGATTTGTTGTGTTGTTTCTCATTTTTCTTTAAAATGTGATTAAGGAGAAGGTTGAAGAAATGACGTTTCTTGTCAAATAACTCGTTCTAATTTCTTTAAAATGTGGAAAAACAGATTCTGTTGCACATGGAAATGAATTTAGTTTAACATTTTGTGTAATTCCAAAAAAAAAACCCAAGAAGTATCAGGTGTTGAAGTACACTGAGTTTGAAAACAAGCAATGTTAAAATGCCACTATAAGTAGTAATGCTTTACTTATTTATTTATTCAGTAAAAAATGCTTTCTGCGAGCTCTGACTTCATCCACTGTCTTGTCTGACAGGAGGTTTACAAACCCCAGAGAAAATACAAACGTCAGAAGGGAGCTGAAGAACTGGTAGATGAGGAATCAAAGGTTCACGCTACGCTTCTTGAATATGGCAGGTGAAAGACTTGGTTTGTTTGAGGGTTTTATGTTGTGTACATTTAAAAATTGATTGTGTTTTATTTTTAATTCTACTTGAGAATCAAGCTTTCAGATATAGTCCAGTCAGATTTCAGACTTATTTTACTCATCCTGTTCCCCTGTGAACTCTATGCTATATATATGTATATGGACAATGAACCATGTTGTACCACCATTGGGAACCCATTTTCTGACTTTGCCCCTTTAGTGAGTTATGTTTATTGAATGTACTTATTCTTTGCTTCTTAAAAATGGCTTATGCAGTGATGGCAATACTGTTGAATGTTTCTATATTAAAACAGCTTTGTACATATTCTGTGGGAGGGTGATGCTCTGTCACTTTGCCTACGTTGCTAAGCTTTAAAATGCAGAGAGAACTTAATGTTGGTGAATTCTTGAAAACTTGGAGTTATGCTGTCATAAAATAGGACTGAATTTACCCCTTAAGTATGAGTGTTGAATAAATGGAGAACAAGTGACAGTTACACTTTTAACTTCGAGCCATTAAAGGCATAAATAGTCCTGCTTCTGCAGTAGTTAAGGAATTAAAGAGATGTAGCTGTGATCTAGTCATATAGAAAGCATCGCTCTTTGTGACTGGCATGCTGTGGGTTTAGTGCTTCATAAGTGTGTCTAAGTTGCTCATCTCTAAAATTCCTTTCTACCTGATTTTTATTTAAGATGGTATTTCTCAACTAGCAACGTAATTCAAATATCAATTTCGCCTCTCCAGAAAAAGAGGTAGAAAATTGTGAGTATATCTTTGAGGCTCTGAACACTGAGCTTCACAAAGAAATTACAGTTTCATCAAAGCACGTAAGACTGTTTTTTCTGAGGAGTGTAGATTGTACTTACAATTTCCTAAGGCCTTTCTAGAATTCAGAAGCTAATTGTTCAGGATTAAATTCTGACTGAGAGGAGAACAGCCCTTTTGCCTTTATGTCCCAACATTGTAAGAAGAGTCTAGATGTACAAATCATGATGGAAAGAGTGGACTGAGGTGGAATTGTTCTGTAAATATGCTGTAGTACCTGCTTATTTCATTAATGTAAAGAATTCCAAAACTAACGTGAGCCTAGCTTTGGATGCTAGTTTTGTTTAATGAATCACTTTTTAGTGAATCTTATCAGTAAAAACTGATAGAAATTTAATTTTTTTTGTGGAAATTGGAGACAACAATGTGTTTATTTCATGTTACTTTTATTCTTTTAGGAGGTATGGATTTAGCAGACAAGCAGGAAAAACAGAACAGGTGAAAAACTTTTAAAACATACTTAAATTTTTGGAATAATTGCATTGCTTTTGTTGGAGCATTGGTTGCTGTAAGATCTTAAAGATAGACAACATCATATTTCGGGTTACACAATTGACTTGTGGGGCTGATAGTTCTCAGAAGATTATGGAATAATGGATCTGTGCCAAAGATGTGTCTAGCCAGCCAGGGACACTGTCTTGAAGAGCTAGAATACTTATGAAGTGTGAAAAGGCTGTCATGAAAATGAAATGATGTGTGAGGCTGTTCCAGTAGCTGAAATGTTTCCATAACTGGAACATAGTAGATCTGGGTTTTTTTGTTGTTGTTATTTTCTTTTTTCTCCTTGCTGTCTGTATTAATACTTTAGATTACTGGAATTAGATTTAATATTTTCTTAATTTCTCTTCAAAAGACTGAAGATAAGAAAATTATGCTACCCTCAGGGCTTGCAGCAACAGGAAAAGCTGAGCCTTGTGATGAAGATGACCTTCGGGCAGCTGAAGAGGTGTGTCATCTGTCTAAATAGGCGTGGATGAAACTAACTGTTGGGGAGGGAAACAGTTATCACTGCTCTCCTCTATCATTGTCATTCGCTTCAGGAAGGAAGGTTTCTGTGCTTGCTTTCCTGAAGAGAATATGGAACTTAAAGTCAGTGTCCCAGAATTAAATGTTTATTGGTATTCAGTAACAAAAAAGTAAATTCTGCTTTGGACTCTGAGCATTTTTAGGAGGTAAAGGTTTGGGTTGATACAGGAGCTGCAGGCTAACTTACAGTATGTACTCTTATAAAGAGTTTTTCTGTATTTGGTAGTTTCGGACACCTCTGAATTAACTTTCACAGATTTACTATCCCATTACATGCATTAAAATACACGTTATGTTATATTAGTTGTATACATTTGCCACTGTCAGTAGTCAGAGATAAGTTAGGTAATAGAAGATTTGTGTAATACCTGTTGTTTTATCCTAGCTTCGCATTAAAACTCTGATGACTGGAATGGCTGCAATGGCAACAGAAGAGGTAAACAATGTCTAAAATTGATACAGCTTTATTTAAATTGTGGTTGGTTATGTTTTAGCAGTCACATATTCAGTTCATATTCATCATCAGTGTTTCTACTTTGTCAGGCTCCATAGTACATGGATATGATGTACTGTTATGATACAGGGGTGAGGATATTCATGCAAATTTTAGTACAGTTTTCTCCAGTCTTGAATTGTTTTCATTCTGGGAAAATGGAGCAGTACAACATTATCATTTTTGCACTTATTTTCTAGTTGTCATTCACTCTTTATGGTAATTATTCCTAAAATCAAGTTACCTGTGAGTCTAAAGTCTTGGAATTATTATGCATTAATTGTTCATGAAGAGAGTGCATGTAAAGATGGTTGTATTAGGAAGACAGTAATTCTTAATGAGGCTGATAACTTAATCCTGGTAAAATAATTGAAACAAGTGCCTCTTTCAAATGTTATTTACACGGAGAATTTAAGGGGAAAGATGTCACAGTGCAGCTACCTGAGATAAAGTATGATCTTATTTTATTCATCTTATGAAGACAGCCAGCTGAATAATCATTTTATGGGGGAGAGTGGAGGAAAATTGTATGCATTTCATGGTATTTTTCGAAGTGCTGATAAATATTAGAAACAATACCATTAGAATAACATGTTTGGAAAAAAAACAACTGGCATTGTGTTTTCAGTTAAAAGTCCTAGTTGCCTGCAGTAAATCTATATGTAATGGAACTTCTAGACTGCAGTAATCTTGAAATTTCTTTGGGTGAGAGGAATGGGAAGCAATTCACGTTTAAGAGTTGCTTCAGTTTATCATGATATCTCAGAAAAAAAGGCATTATTTTGTCTGATCTCAATGTTGATTGAAATGTTCAGAGCATGGTGAAATTGCCCTGTGAAAAGAACAGGCAGTTCCAAAACTCTCAGTATTTTGTCACTTTGATACAATTGCAGGGCAAGTTGACAGCAAGCACAGTAGGACAGATAGTTGGACTCCAGTCGGATGAGATCAAGCAAATAGTGTCAGAATATGCTGAAAAGGTAAGTGTGTTTCCTGATTAAGGTTTACCAAGTCGTGATTGATAGCTTGTTAATTAAAGCTTCCAAATCAGTTGCTTTGATTGTCTTAAAACAATGCTGTTTTATATATGCTGTGTATGACAGTGCAGTCAGGATTCAGGGAAGTATTTCAGTTAGACTTAAACATACATAACCTTTTGGCAGAGCGTGTATTTTTAATTACATTCACAAGCATCTTGGGTGTTAAGCAGCTTCTTAAACTTCTTTAGGGATAAAGGGCCTGTGCCCTTATGTGTTGAAATCAGAGATGTAAACTCAATGCTTTTTATAACGTTAAGTACAGAAATAGTTTGTTTCCAATTATCACTTGTTCTGGATCTGTCATTCTCAATCTAGTATTATAAAAAAAGACAAATTTTTATTGCTTTAAAAGTCGGAGGCGTATATTAGCTTCGCTCATTGTGTTCATCTGTGATTGTTTTCTTTACAGTAATGTGAGAAGAAAATCTAGCTCTTCAAGCAATTAATACATATAATACATCACTGCCAGTGATGAGTTATAGGTTGCTCTTATTTGTCCAATAGTCTTCTCATATTTCTTCTTTTTTGTTGACACTTATGAGGTATGGAGCTTTCCCATTTGGGAGATAAACCCTATAACTCAACAGAGTCTATATCAAATTCTTGGCCTTTCTTTATTATAAAAGATTGGAAGAACAGAAGTCCAGGGGTCATATTTCAATGTTACATTTCTTCTGCTCTGAGAGAAGGCAGCAAGACCTTGACTATTACAGTAGAACAATGATTAATACTCTGGGAAGTAAGAACTGATTCAAGTCAAGCCAAAAACATATTGCTTTTCAAATCTACTGGATTTGAAAAGAAAAAAAAAAAAAAAAAAAAGGGTGTGTGCATGCATACACCAGGAAAAGAGAACTAAGGATGTTACCAAACAGCTTATTAAAGCAACAACAGCACTCATGTACTGTTCTAATAATTTTAACCCCTTGTAACTATTCATAGTCTGAAGAACGGAGGAAGTGCTTGTTTGTCTGTCAGAGTTTTAATAGAATCCACAGGTGCATTTCCCGTGAAGAGAGCTGGCAAGCAGAAATCTAGATCTGATTTTGCCATTTGTTAAGACTGTTCTTACAAGATTGTATTTTTGCTGAAGATCAATGGATGCAGCTTTCTGCTCACCCGGTTAGCTTTGTAAATTCAAAGGAATGATAGCTTTTTATTAGCCCATCCATTGCAGCTTTTTAAAGGATAATTATTCGAAGTAGCACTGAATTTTACTGTTAGAGGGATTATCCCTCCGATCATTTACTGATATTCCCATTCAAAGAGGAAGCTTTGAGACCTTCAGTGCAAGTTCATAGAGAGGAATGCAAAACGTATTGATCTACATTCTTTGTGGATTTGACAGTAATCTCAATTGCTTTCCTGTTTTTCTTCTGATCATGTTTATAAAACATTGGAAAAACAGTTGATTCAGATTGAATTCTTCTAGCAGAAAGACGTAGAAAGTACGGTGAGAAAAAGCTGTTCCTTCTGTGTTTTCATCACAGCGATTTTTACATGACAAATAATGCCATGTGGGAAGTTATTTCTAGTAGAGAAAACCTAAATATTTTATTAATGCTATAGATTTCTACTTCTCTTTCTTCTTTTATCTGGGGCATAATTAAAATTAATATGTGCATGGTAGAAATGAGGAGAAATAGGGGTATGGCCGCACTTCATACACTTCCTCAGAAGACTTTAATGAATTTAACTGGAACTATATGTTGCCAAGGATGTTCTATATGGATTCATATTAATTTTTTTTTTTTTTTTTTTTTTTTTCAAGATCAGTCTCAGACTGGTTTAGCTAACATTTCTTTCTCTCACATTTCCAGTTTTCTTGGTTTGCATGTAATGTGTGTACTGCCCATTCCAGTACCTGACCACTCTTTCAGACAAGAAATTTTTCTAATATCCAGTCTGAACTTGAGGCCATTCCCTCTTGTTCTATTGCTAGTTGGGCAGAAGAGGCTGACCTCCACCTCCCAGCAAACTCCCTCCAGGGAGCTGTAGAGAATAAGGTCACCCCTGAGCCTTCTCTTCTCCAGACTGAAAAATCTCAGTTCCCTCAGCCATTCCTCTTAAGACTTGTGCTACAGACCCTCATATCTTCATTGCCATTCTCTGGATGCGCTTCAGGGCCTCAGTGTATTTCTTGTAATGAGGGGCCCAAAATTGAGCACAGTGTGCAAGTTGTGGCCTCACGAGAACTGAGTGCAAGGGATTGATCAAATCCCTGGTAATACGGGAAGTAAATGTTGGTGTGTATCTTTTTAATATAGTGTTGCAGGTGTTGTTTAGAGGCATTATTTCTTTTCCTAATTAGGTAGAAAGAAAGTACGCGAATTGTTAGGATAGATGTCAGAATTAGATGTCAGAATTACTTCACAAAAGTAAAATAAAAATAAATAAAAGCTTAGAGAGGTAAACGTAATTACCTCACTGAGTATGTCATTGTCATTCAGTTTGCTGCATCTATGCCAGTGTTTCAGTATCTAAAGACAACTGTTGGATGCTTTTTAGAGTTCTGGATTTATGTATTGAGGTATGGATAATCTCCTGTTCAAGAAGTTGAGGAAATACCATACTGAAGCATGCTCACACTGAAGCAATGCTGCTGCTTAAGAGGATCTTCAGCATGTTTGGATTTGTTTGTGGTGCTGCTGTCCTTGTTTAAAAAGCCTAGTAGGTTTAACTGTATTGCTGATGCAGTATACTACAATTAATTAATTGTTGCAGTATTTTTATCCATTCCCACAGCACCTCACTAACTTAATTTACCTAATCTTTTGGGACTTAATTCAGTTATTTGACTGCTTTCTTACCTTGGTGTAATAAGTCATTGTTTCTCTTGGACCATGGGACACAGTTCTTGATGAGGAATATCTCAAGTGTGCTCCAGTTTGGCATCTCCTTAGCTACGGTAGAGGCAAAAAACATTTGACATGAGGTTCAATAGTCTGTTACTGTTGTTTATTTTAGCAGTCTGAGCTTTCTGCTGAGGAGCGACCAGAAAGGCTTGGAGCTGCTCAGCAACACAGAAGGAAGGTGGCATCCCTGAATAAGCAGATTTTGCAGAAAACCAAACTCCTGGAAGAGGTAAGAATTGTGTGGGGGGATCAAAGAAGAAAACATTGATAAATGTGGGGGATGGCAGGAGAGACTGGTAAGTGAGCTTGGCAGTTGTGGGTGAGTCTTGCAGCTGTTTTGTGCTGTATTCATATAATCCTGAAAGCAGGATGGATCCCCAGTGTCTGAGATGTTCAAAATCTTTTTTTTTTTTTCTGGAGTAGATATTTTTGACCTTCTGCAAAATTGTAGCATAGTGTAGCTGCTGAAGTAGTAACACAGAATATTCCTGTAACTTGGTGTATGCTGAGCGGATTACCTTTTAATTTCTGGTGCAAGTCACTTCCTTTACCCATTTTCCTGGTGTATGCATAAATGTATTTGCTTCCTTTCCACACACTACTGAGAAGGCTGCAGTTTGCAGTGGAGAGAAAATGAGCTTGTAAATCTCTGATAATGTACTGATAAAATAGCGGAGTCCTTAATTAGAAACCTATTTTTAGTTTCCAGATGAACTTTGTATCCACAGGAATACGTAAATATTTCCTTAGTCCTGTAATGCTCTTTGCCATTTTAACAGTTGAGGGCCATTGAATTCTGTGTTGGTTATTTTCAGTACATAACAGTCTGTGTTACGTTTTTGTACAGAAGGAAGTACTGGCAGCTGTAAGCCAAATATAATTCTTTCATCACTTTAGTAAAGTAAAAATTTCCTAGCTGATCTTCTTTTGCCATTTGCCAAAGGCAGCTTTTGTGGGGTAAGATAGAAGAAGCTGGAATCAGTGGTAGTCAAGACTTCCTCTTAAAATGTGATTGTGAAATTCTTGTTGCAGTACTGCAGTAAGTTCTGGCAAGAGTTCCCCTATCAAATAGTTCTTTAATTTTTGTGTCAGTTTTCATGAAATGTGGACTTTGGGCTTAAATTAGGATTTTTTTTAACTAGCTCAAATTTGGCCTATTGGTGAGAAATATAAAAGTTGTAATATAAAAAAAAATAATGTTCTAAATTTCCCTATGGATAAGAATGAGTAAGGTGTTTGGTCACAGCTCCACATTGTGAATGGCAACGTAAAACATCAGGAAAAGAAGTGAATCAGAAAGCCAAACATGCATTTCTTTATGTGCAGCGCTTCTGCTTAAGTTTTCTACCCCTTGTCCTATTTCTGTTGTTTCTGCTTGTGATGTTACATTAAACTGTAAGTACTTTAGAGAAAGGGGAGCCTACAAACAGGAGGGGAATCAACTCTCTGAAAGGGTTGATAAGTGCAGGTCAAAGGGAAGTGGTTTTAAGTTGAGGGAGGGGAGATTTAGGTTGGATGTCAGGGAGGAAATTCTCTACTAGAGAGAGAGTGGTGAGGTGCTGGAACAGGCTGCCCAGAGAGGTTGTGGATGCCCTGTCCCTGGAGGTGTTCAAGGCCAGGTGGGATGGGGCCCTGGGCAGCCTGGTCCAGTATTAAATGTGGAAGTTGGTGGCCCTGCATGTGGCAGGGGGGTTGGAGATTCATGATCCTTGACGTCCCTTCCAACCCTGGCCATTCTGTGATTCTGTGTGTGTGTGTGATTCTGTGTGATACTAAGCTATCTGACAAAGTGAAATAGTCTGTGGCATTTTGGTAACTCCCTACTTAATGGATTTTCCATAGTTTCCCAAAATAAAATCAAATAACCACTTGCTTTATTGGTATGGACAGTTCTGTGGTCTCATGATGTTTTTATGTAAGTCTTGAATCACCCTAGCTTATTTGGAGAAGTGAAAAATGGGACTCTCTTTTTTGCCTGGAACTTGGCTATCATAGCCAGGCTAAATAACTTCAGCAGAGATTCAGTCCAATAAGTTACAAAAGGGATTCCAGCAGAAAAGTAAAAGCTGCTGTTCATTCTAGGATCTAACACATCAGGAAGGACGGGTGGAAAGTATTTGCTGCTAGTAATTGTTCAGATTACCTAGAATGAAATGGACTCGGACAAGAAAATACCTTGATTGTGATGATTTGCCTGTTGTTTAACAGATGCCCATTATCAGCATTTCAAATACTGCTATTTTCTGTAACAGATGAAATTAGCATGAATTTAGAATCATACTCTGTTCTTTCTCCTCATAATAGCTGCAAGCTAAATGTGCTGATCTACAGGCAAAATGTACTGAAGCAAAAAAGACATTAAGTGAGGTAATCTTTTTTTGTTTTTCTGTGCACTTACTCTAGCTGAGAATTCTTTTAAGAAGTTTTATATGGAGGGATGTATTAAATGGGAAAGCTGATTGATTACTTTTATGTTAAGAAAGTTTTGAGTTCGTAAATTTCTACTTTTCTGGTCCCAAAGAAACTGATTTGATTTTATTACATTACCTAGAAAGGGAGACCTTTTTGTGATACTGTTATGAGGATTACTATTAATTACATTTCTTAGGTCAAGAGTTACAGTGAAAAGCTGGACAAAGAACTAGCAGCCTTAGAAACAATAGAATCCCAAGCAGATTCCAGGTAAGTTTGCATGTTCTCCTTTGTAGCTTTTGAAGTTATGAAAAATGATGGTTTTAAAATGTCATTCGTTATGTCTTGCTTTTTCCACCTAAGCAAAGGATTATTGTTTAGAAAAATAAATTCTCTAGCTTCCTTCCACTAGTCAGAAGATTAGCAAGTAATTAATTCAGAGTGGAAAAATCTCAGTCTGTAGTTGAAAGTAATTGTAGATATTTAATTAAAGCAAAAGCACAAGTAACACTAAACACGCATTTGCGGCCTTCCTATTTTGATATTCTTTATACTTGAAACCTTAATCTTGCATAGATTAAATAGGGTGCTCTCTCAAAATTTCCACAGTAATGAGATTAGAATATCACAAAACATCAAAATACTGAGGTAGTATTAGATTTTTTTCTTTGTACTTCATGATACTTGGATTTTTAATTTACATGGACTTTACTGTAAAGTTGTATAGAACTAAGCCTGTTCTGATGTCTTTTAGTTCTCCGTCTGCTTAAATTAGAAATGAAGACTAATGCAGTTTTGCTTGGTCTTCAAATTCAGTGTGTTACAGAATCTGCGAACTCTGGTAGCCATGAATGAAAACCTCAAAAGCCAGGAGCAAGAATTTAAAGCACACTGTAGGGTAAGTTTTAGTTTCTTAGAAGACAATGTGTTTACAACTCGGTAAGCAAGCATAATACTTTCTCCTGTTCTGTCCTTTCTTCCCATTTCCCCCATTCCAGCTTCTTAGATGAGCCAGCAATGACCTGAGGAGCCCAGTGTCAAAGTGGAAATCTTGTTGAAAGCCCCTAGCTTTGGAGCAAACCACTAGAGATACAAAAACTGAGATAAATCTGTTACAGTTTCCAGAGTAGCATTTCAGCTTGGCTGTTTAATTGTAGTTTATTACTGCTGTGTTTATGGGCTGCCTAGAAATATGATCAGAGAGATTTGTTTTCATTCTCATCTATTTAAACAGTAGGGGATGGAATTTAATGGAATGAAAAGAAGTGAACAGGCATACTGCACTCTGGTAGATACTGAGCACAGAAACCTCGTTTTCTTATACAAACATTTTGGAAAATTCTGAAGAATTCTGATGGAAATGACCTTGCAGCTAACTTTAGGTTCATTCATTGTTAGGAATAGCATGCATTGCAGCTCTGTGTCATGCTGTTGCTGTTGTAGTGTTTCATTGTTTCCTTAGCTTATCATTTTCTATGTCACTCACTGAATGTTATGCCTAGCAGAGTATATTTGCAAGTATATTTACAAGTAAGAAATAAATCTTTTCCTGTGTTTGATAAAAGTAGATATTCAATTTTATGTAATGAGTTGTAAAGCATGCTTAACCCTGGGGGCAGGGGTTGCTTTTGGGTCTTCAAAATTTTTGAAGCATGTTGTCAGCATCACCTTTGTTACACTTGTATGATATCAAGCCTCCTGCCATCCCCTTTTTTAGAGAGTAGGTCTCAATTAAAAGCAACATAAACTCTTTTTTTTTTTAAATAGGAAGAAATGGAGCGGCTTCAACAAGATATTGAGAATTTGAAAGCTGAGGCAGCAGAAAATGGGGAGGAAGAGGTAAATAGCAAATGTGTGAAGAGCTTATTTTCAATTTGTGTTTTAAAATGCTGTTTTATGTCTTTCTGACTTGGGCACATTCTAGTTAGGATAAAAAGACCTGTTGCAATTTCTGAACAATTCTGTTCTCCACCACTGGTAAAGCCACAGTTCAGGCTGGTAAACAATAAAGTACAATAGAATAAAAATCACCACAGTATTTTTCATTCTTCTTGCTACAACGCATGGGGCAAACTCATGTGTATTTTTGTCTCTTTTACTTTTTTTTTTTTTTTTTGTAGTATCAGAGAAGAATCTCTGGGTGTTGTATTATGAGCAGTGCATATTTACAGCGTAAACTGGTCCTCCTCAGAAAATACATTTGTTCTGGAGGTCTTTTTTTTTTCCCCTTAAGGTGGATATGTTTGAAGGATGGAGGCACAAGTTTTCAGTGGCTCAGAACACTGCATACGTTAGCAGCTGTCTGAAATTAGGTGTAACACCAGTGCTACCGAACTGATGTCAATGAATAATGAATGAACAGAAAATGAAACACTCGACTTAATTGTTTCGATGAGTAAACATTATATTTATGTGCCAGAAATCAGGTAGATTATGGGTTCAGTGATGCTGCTGTCCTTCTGAACACAGTATGAAAAAATGAAAATGTAACTTAAATATTTAAAGAAGAGAAAGTGATCCATGCTTGTTGCAGGAAGTGTAGAATACATCAGAGGGTTTGCGTTCTGTCTTGGGCTGTGTTTATCCTTATCCTTCTGGACGTTGGTGGCCCTGCCTGTGGCGGGGGGGGTGGAGGGGGGCTAGAACTGGTTGATCCTTGGGGTCCATTCCAACCTGAACCATTCTATGATTCTCTGAACCCTGCTGGTGAATCAAAGTGTACACTGAGTGTACGCTAAACGTTTGCACAGTGGTTACAGAGTATCTTTGGATACACTTCATATACTGCAAGCAGTAGAAAAACAACTGACAAATCTTAAAAACTAAAATGTAAAAGTGTTAGCTTGTTTGCAGTAAAAGATGAAAATTGTTTCAAATTTTTAAATGTAGATTTTGGATCATCGTTTAAAAAAATAGCAAGCGATGATGGTGTTCTAGTGGGAGCCATTCAGTGGTAGATACAAATACAGACAGAACTCAACCTGCACATTTTTGTAATTGCAGCTCTCATTTGTCGCTGTAATCCACAATTGTTTTGGGTTCTCAAATTCTAGGAGCCGAATAAGCTCATAGACCAGCAATACAAAACTGAGAAAGAAAAACTTCAGAAGATACGGCTATTGTTGGTAAGTCTGTGAATTTACTTGGACAAAATGATTAAAGTTTTTTCTTACCCTGTCACTTTTAATACTAATTTTACTTTTTGTTGTAATTAAAAAAAAAAAATTAAAAATCACAAATCATTTACAAAATAATATTGTGCCTCAGCTAACACTTTAAAAAAAAAAAATACCAAAAACCAACAAACATTAATTGTTTAGTAAGAAAGTACTGCATGGGGGGCTTCATCCATTTTAAGAAGAGAACAAGAAGAGGCTTTGTTTTCTCCCCTCCTAACTTTCTATTCAGGCACGAAGAAACAGAGAAATAGCGATTTTACAGCGCAAGATTGATGAAGTACCCAGCCGAGCAGAGCTAACACAGTATCAGAAGAGATTTATTGAACTATACAGTCAGGGTATGTATATCAAGCAGGAACATTCTACTGAAGGCTAAAGCCCCAGAAGGAGGGCAATTGCATTTTAAACTTCTGGTTTGTAACAACAGCAGTTGCAAATTCTGTGGACTTTAGGGGTGGTTTGATATTCACATTATATACATTACTTTCAACGTTTTATAAGCTGGCTATAAGAATTCTCTTGTGGGCAAAACTTGATGTACAAGATTTTTGGAGTAAATTCTGGTTGTAACAGGTTCAGCCATATAGATCAATGAATGACAAGTGTGTTTAGAAAGTCCTTAATTTGCTATATACAAATGAAGTAGATTTAGATTGCTTTGAATTTCCTGGAACTTTGTTTTCTGTAGCACAAAATAAATGCAGTGACTTAGAATAATGCTGTGCTCAGTCTTCTGGCCAGGAACCTGCTCTACCCAGGCTAATGTTTATTAGAAAATAGAGCTGAGAATTTGTAGCAAATCTTTCTGAGAATTGTGGGTTTTTTGTTTTTTGGTTTTTTTCTTAGGAGATTTTTCATTCAGTTTCAGGAGATTTTAGAGTTGCCAAAAACAGGTTTTTGGACTTCTGGGTCCAAGGTATTTTGGACAGGGCAACCTTCACAGGTATCTTCCAACCTCAGTGGTTCTGTACTGGAATGCTTCTAAGTTTCACTATTCCATGCTATTAAATATAAATGTGGGTGTGTGTATATATGTATATTATTATCACTGCCAGTGCTGCTACAAGATAAGGAGGAGCTGCAGGAAAGGAGAGGTTTGGGAAACTCTTCAATTTGGCAGAAAGTCCTGCAAAAACAGAAGTAATCAAAACAGTATAAGCCTGTTGGAGGTCCTTCTCTTCATGCAGTTCTTCAAGCAGCAGTCTGATTTCAAAGCAGCAGCAGTTGGAAAGTCTCTCTATAGAGTGTGCTGAACAGCCTTTACTGATTTTCCAGCCTATCCCAGCCTTTCCTGAATTGATGCTTTCAGGCTCTGAGTGCTCAGTATGCTTTTTAGAATACAGGGTCAGTTGCAGCAGTGGAAAAGCTCTCTGATCACAACTCATGCTGCAGAAGTAGTCAGTGCTGATTTTCTGTCACCAAAACATTCAACTCTGGGATGTGAACAGCTGTTTGGCTTCAGCTGGAAAACATCATCAAGCAGTAGGACTTCCTTTAAGAAACTGGATTTTTAATGATGTTATGACATGGCAGGAGAGTTGTGCTGTCTGTTAGTGACTCTATTAAACCTTAGTCCAATATATTCGAAAAAGGTCTTGTTTAAAGACGACAACTTGTTAGCTGTTAGAGTTTAATATGATGATTTCAGTCTAATTTAGCTTACTCATGACATTTGGAATGATTTATATCATTAAGTCATTTGCTCTTTTTAAACCCCTACTTGTTTTCTTGGTTCAGAATTCTACACAGTGCTTGATATGTTAACTGAAATAATTTTTGCCAGTTGTTCCTCTCCGTTGAGCTTTTTCCCACCATCTTAGGTTTCCTTTATCAGTGGAGATCTGACGAAGAGGTGAGCGCTTCAGAGATTTGAGTATCAATCATTAGCTTGTAGGCCCAAATGAAAGGTGTGTCTGAGCCTTACTTTCCCCACTGAGCTGTGACTGGTATTTGATATGCTCACCTACAACATTTTTTGAAAAGAGAATAATATGTAATTCTATCAGCTTAAATGTAATTATAAAGAGGGAAAGAAAGCTTTTACTTTTTTTTAAAGCCTCCTTAGGCGTCTTGCATATTCACATCTTGGAAGATGCAGTTTAATGTACTCTGGTTTCTTGCACACAGTACTGTCAGAAAATCTGTACCCCTGCACTCTGTGACCCACCAGAGCACAAGTTATGTAGGGTAACTGTTAGCAGCGCAGCAGCCTGTATTGTCTAAAGATAAAAGCTTGTGAAGGAAGAATGAGCGGACAGTGGTAAGGAAGCACAGCAGACAGTGCCAATGTACATTTGCATAATGTATGTAAAGGTCTATCAGTAGCTGGGATTAAACATTCATCAGTGTTGTTTTGGAGTTCAGTTCTCATAAAATCTGGAAGCTCCAAACCCTGCTGGAGGTTCAAATGCAGAGGAAATATTCTTCCAGAATGTATTAAAGAGTGAGTTCCATTATTGATAGCAGTGTATTATACAAAGCCTGTGGAATACTTATACAGGTTCCCTTTTACTCATGCTCTTCTATTCTACCTTTTTTTCTTTGCAGTCTCAGCAACTCACAAAGAAACAAAGCAGTTCTTTACTCTTTATAATACACTGGATGATAAAAAAGTATATTTGGAAAAGGAGGTAAGAAAGTGTTACTGCTGTTTTCTAAATATTCAGTCTGTGCAGGAGAAAGTGAAAGCTAAGTAAAAACTCTCTATTTAGAGAATTATCAGTCTTTGAAAGTAAAATTGAGTTGGCTTATACGAATATTTTTGATGTTGAGGTGGGAATGATCTGTGTTGTAAAAGGTACGTTTCTTAGTAAAGCATGTTTAAACTGCTCACTGTGCAAACAAAACACAACATTTGGTGAGCAAATCTCTCTTTGCATAGTTTGTGAGACCAAGTGGTTGTCAAATTTATGGCAACAAAAAGATACCTGTTTATTGAATGACCGTTTCCGTCCCTTAAGTGGTGAATTCTAATATGTGTGCTAGATGGTTTTCAGTTTAGAAAATCAGTAGTTCATGTGACTCTTTAGATGGCACGTGAACAACTGATGGAGTAGGTCTAAAAGCAGAAATGTTCTTCAGCAATTAGCTTATGCTGCATGTAACTTCCAAGTTCCACGCTTCATTTGCGTGGATATAATTTCAAAAGGCAAATAAACTGTTCAAGCATTTCATTTAGCTTAATGTCAATCATGAGAGAGATGTTTATATGATTTCTTATGCAGTCATAGCTTAAAATACTTTTAAATTGAATTTTCCATTATCTTTGCTTCACGGGGTTTATAGTCTGGCTTTCATTGTTGTGCAGGGTAACACATCAGCATTCTTACTGTTGCAACAGTTGTGCTGTTTTACTTTTCATTACTTGGCTGTTTTGTGGTATAAACTGTAGAACTGCATTCTTAAACACAAGCTTGTTGGAAATATTTCAGGGCACGGATGTAGATTTGGCAAGTATCGATGAGTCGCACAGTGATTTCTTTCCTCTGAGTAACAGAAATCTTTAAGTGTTGTAGCTTTGGAATCCGCTCAGAATTTGTTTCATAGTAGAGTCAGGAACAGCTTGAGGTTCTGCAATGCACGTGCCTATTGCTGTTGCATTTATATGGAAGACTGTAGATTTGAGGGAGGTCAGTTCAGCTTTCTTGTAGCAGTTAAAAGCAAATGGTTCCGTTTGCAGCGCTTAGATCTGTTCAGTACATTTCCAAGTATTCATCATAAGGAGAAACTGCTTGGAAGGTTTAACTGCAGGAGATTTGGGAGAGTTATTGATGAGGAATTCCATGAGGAATCTCATTCATTGCTAACTAGTGAATTTTAGTGCTCTTAGCAATCTTTAATAGTAAGAAAAAAATAGGCAGTTTGATCAGCTGGGTGAGCTATCCCAAGAACAACAAAATAACTCCTGTTAATGTTGTTACAGATTTTTCTTTGTCTTATTTAAATATGGTGTCCATATCTTGTAGCAGGAGCTACTCATACTGATAACAAAATATCAGCTATTTTCTTTCTTTTTTTTTTTTTTTTTTTTTTTTCTCTTTAATTCACAGGTCAATTTACTGAATTCTATCCATGACAACTTTCATCAGTAAGTAATGGTTATTTTTCTCTTGATAGTTGCAGTGGGTAGTATGGCTGGTTGGAAAAATAGGAGGGGGAATGAGTAATGGACTCTAAAAATGCGTTACAGTATTTTATTAACTTAAACTATTTAACAAAATAGTTTATTAATTCTGTTTAAGCCAATGTTTGGAGAATTTCAGACTTGGAATTACTTAACTTTTATAGCCAACAGATGTTTTTAATATCTGGCTGTTCAGTTGTGGTTGTGTAAAGAAATTTCAGTCTTAATTTTCCTGGCATTAATTTAAATATCTTTCTCCATTTTTTGAAGCTGTAGTTATATTATATACAAAACATTAGATTCAGACATATTTCAGATGTTTTTTATAGACTAACTCAGTACTTAAAAGGTTTGATGAAGTGTGAAGTCAAATCATAGTTCATTTGGACACTTCAGGTCAAAATACCATCTGTGATACAGCCAACGTTTATTTCTCTCTGCTTTTTTGACTTTAGGGGAAAAAACTCCAGTGTGAATTTTCTCACAGCAGTACAGTAGAGTCATAGGAGAGGAGATGATCTCTTAATTTTTAAATAATTCTTCTTATTATATCTTTTCATAATTCTGTTATGACTTTTTTTTTTTTCTCCTGAGTAAGTAATTATCTCTATAATACAGATTCACCAGGGTGGGAAAAGACCTCCAAGATCATCCAGTCCAACTGTCCATTATCACCAACATTTCTCAATAAACCATGTGCAGCACAGCACCACGAACATACACATTTGTGCTGTTTTATGTTGACTCAGTCATTTTCAATTTTTATTTTGTTAGTGTCATATTCAAAATTGTAACTACAATAGAAACAAGCCCAAACAATTCAGTATTTCAAGTGTTTTCCATTGCAGCAGGAATTGTAGATCTGTTCTGCTCAGTGATGATATCCTTTTGAGTCCAGTCAGTAGAATCCAATATTGTAATTGACAGCTGGGATTTGGCTGGCTGCATTGATGGGTAGGGGGTGGTATTTTCTTTGTTTCCCATTATCTGTTCAAGATAAGTTACAAGCCCATAATTACTTCAGGACTTTTCCTGTCCGGACACAAAATACTGGTTTAGAATATTAACTGTTCTCCTAGTTCTCCAATCGTCTTCTTTATATTTGAATCAGCTGCTTTTCTTACAAGTTTGTGCTCTTGGTCAGTTAGTAGCAATTTATTTCTTGAAAACACGTGCGAGAGTCGAACTGCCAGAGAGAACTCTGGTGGTGAGCTCTGTAGTCTCTGTTCCCATCTGATAGTTTATATCAGCTGAAGAGCTGCGCTTTTACTTGAAGTCAGAGATTAAAAAGATTATTTTTTTTTGCACAGAATTCTAAGTAATGCAAATGCTCGAACATCAGTGAATACACAGGGTAATTGTAGATGAGATGCATTGTCCCACATGCGTATCAGTTTGTTTTTCTTTGTTTCGTTTTGGTTTGTTTTGTTTTGTTTTGTTTTTCTCCAGAGCAATGGCATCTTCTGGTTCTCGTGAGCAGTTCTTACGACAGATGGAGCAGATTGTGGAAGGCATCAAACAGAATCGAATGAAGGTCTGAGACACTTCTCACTTACCCTAATAGAACCTGAAAATTATTTCAGAAAAGCCTCTTGGACAATAACTATGTATGGCAAAATTCAGTTAGTGAGGTGCAAATTAAGCAAGCATATTACAAGTATTATTTTTTTCCCTATCCATCAGAAACTGCTCACTGCTGAAATGTAAGTGAATAGAGTAGAAGAGAGGTACTGTTAAGGGAGAGCTTCTCTGCTGATGGGGAATTTTATATTCTTTGTTTCTGGCCTTGTAGTGATGTAGATGCTTGAAATGGCTGTATGTACCCAAAGTCTCACTGATGTCCCTGAGGTCCATGGGAATTTTTTTCCAGTTGGAAAATGCAGTAGTACAGCCGTGCCTATGTTAGACTCACTTTCTGGTGTTAAGTAGATTTAGAAAAGTGCGTTGTCATGGGTCAAGTGAAAGGGCTTTGTGGGTGTGCAGAGCCCAAGAGTTACTGCAGAGAAGGCAGACTTGCTTCTGGTAACACTGAGTGGCTGTTCTGTGAAAGTTCAGCCTCGGTGGACTTTGTGCTAAGTGGGCTTGGGCCGATGTACACATGAGAGCCAAAAGTTACTCCAACTAAAGGTGTCCACGGATGTATTTGCATGCAGTGGAATAGCTTTAAGTAGTGCTTGTCAGTAGCCTCTATTCCTGAGAAGAAGGCAGCCAGCCTATCATAAGAGCTGATCTTTCCATCTAGAGACTTGAGAGTGTTTGTCACAACTTTGGCACAAAGACAAAAGAGAATTTTCTTGTGTGGATCTTGAGCAAGAGAAAATTAGAAAAATTTAATATGTGCCCTGCTCTGTTTAGTACAACTAGCATAAACAATGAAATCAAGATCTTGCTGTTTTGTCAAAAGGCTGCATGCAGTTTCCTGTTAATTTCACCATGTCATTATTGATGTAGAACTGTTTGGTGAGCAAAATTCCGGGCTTGCAGAAACATGAGCCTTAGTTCAATTCTGGATGCTACTTACAGTGTTACTGATACTGAGATATTTTAGTTTTTTAATTTTTCTGAAGTGTTGGCCTAAATGTTTGCTGTGCTTAAAGCACAAGGCAGGGATGTCATTTGTGAAGCATCTGTCTCACTGTTATAGAAAATTATTTCTTACACTTTGTGTGCTTGTACATGTGTTTCTCATACAGTAAATGACCTTTAATCCTTCCTGTATACCAACAGATGGAAAAGAAGAAGCAAGAAAATAAAATGCGAAGAGATCAGTTGAATGATGAATACTTAGAGCTTCTAGAGAAACAGAGGCTTTACTTTAAAACAGTGAAAGAATTTAAAGAGGTAAGAACATTTTTTGCTAGTGTAAGTTGGCTAATACTTGAACTGATCAGAAGTAGTTTAAGAAGTTCTGCACAGATACACTGATTGCTTTGAAGCAAATTACAAACTTTGCTTTTGGTTAAGAGCACATTTCTAAATACATGGGTTTGTCTGAACTTTATCTTACTTTCTACATTTATTTTCTGGTGACTTAGTGGTGTTAAATCACAGAGTTAGAATTGCCTTAGGAGGAAGCTGACAATCTCATTTTGGTATGAATTTTATATCACTGCCTAGAAATAAGCAGTATTCATATTGTGTGAATGGATGAAATGTACTCTTGTCACTAGCAGAATTATGATTTTTTTTTTTTATATTTGTAAGGCTTATAACGTAGATCCTTGCTGCATTCTACTCAATGGGAATTTAGATGGCAACAAATGGTAGTGTTTTTATTTTGTTAATTTTGTGTTGTCATATTCAAAATTCTAATTGCCAAAGTAATTAGGACTTTCAAGTTGTGCACAGGTGTTCCTTATACTTTATTACATGTTAACATTGTCTCTTCTTGGATGTTTCCACTATTCCATTATTTTTAAACTCTGAATTTTATTCTGAAAATTATTTTGACACTGATTGGCTGGCAGCCCTCCATGTTAAAAGGGAAGTATTAATTTGTTACTGAGGAAGCTGCATATTTAGGTTTCAGGATGGAATCTTCTGGAGATCTATGAGCAGCATTTGGGCGTTGGAGCAAAGAGGGTTGTGGAAATGTGTGAGTAAGAGAGGCAATCTAGTATCTTTGCAGTCATAAATACTTTAGTAGCCAGCCTTGTATTTTACTTGCAGTGGAAGGACTGTTTAACCCTTCATTCATTTCACTTTTCTTGAGTTTATCATCATAACGTGTGCTTCTGTTACTTGTTATCATGGTAAAGAAAGTAGTGCTGCCAGGCTAAATTGTCATTTGGCATCAGGTGTTTTGGGAGGAAAAAAAAATATTTCTGGTTTATTCTGGGGTAGCCCCCTCTTGTTTTGGATGATGTGCTCTGGGAGATGTGCTGTTCTACTTTTCTGACTTTTTCGCATCCTCTTTGAAGAGATTAGGTGGTTGTGGGGGGTTTTGTTAATTTGGGTTGGTTTTTTGTGGTTTTTTTTTTTTTTTTTTTTTTTTGAAGTAGAAAAAAAGCCATTTTTCTTCCATTGCCCTGTGAGAGAACTTCTATTCGATCTTGCTATTTTTAAAAATAATGATATAAAATTGTGGTTGTGCTGCTGAAAACAGATGGTATATGCCTATGTTCACACATTTCTTGACCAAGAATAATTTCCTGTACACTGACATTTTGCAGACTGCCTTCTGGATTTTCAGATGTTCAAAAAGTAATCTCAATTTCAGATTTTTTTTCAATTTAGAAATAAACATATAGATATACTGTATCCACTTCTAACAATTTTAGACTAATGGTCAAGCAGTGTTCCTATTGGTGTGTATGTCATGAAGCTTAATGAATTTTCCATTGGAATAACATTGTGGATGAATCAAGAGTTAACTTCAATTTATCATTCATTCCAGACTACTGTGTACTTCAGAGGTCTTTCAAAGACGAGGCTTTGGTTTACTGATGTGCAGATACATACAGTAGGGTTAAGAATAACTACTTTATCTGTTTGTTTTCTGTTAACAGGAATGTCGTAAGAATGAAATGCTGCTGTCCAAGTTGAAAGCTAGTTCTTCCTGAAGATCTCCAGCTGGTGAAGTTGATCTATATGATTGTTCAGTCTATACATTAAATCTTTTTTGTGAAGTGAAAGTTACAGCTGCAATTGTAGACCTATGTGTGTGTATATACACATACACACAGCTGTAAAGTCTGGGATTTTTTCCAGTATGTACTCTTCTACATTCCTTCATGAAATGGCTGTATTATTCATTATTGCCTCCACTACACAGTAAAGAGTTAATGCAGTACAGCAAAACAGAAATACTGTCTAATTTTATTTATTTTTGTTGGCGGTTTATTTTTTTCTTCATGGTAAGAACAACAAAGATGGTTTTTATTTGGGTTTTAGCACTGAAGAACTACAAAATTCTGCAATAAGTAGATATAGACTGTGTAGTATGTCCAGTACCGTAAGATGAGCACTGCAAGGTGCAGTAGCTTGTTAATTTTGGCCAAACATAAACACAGAAAATAGTTCCCAAAACTTTCCACCAGCTAATAACTTCACATCATTTTAATTTAAACTCTAGATAAGATCCCAGAGGAATAAAAATATAATTTCTAATGGTTAAGACAAAAGAAAATGGAAACTTACCTTGGATAATTCTCATGTAAAAATATAGATCTATATTTTTATAAAGTCTAGCAGTTGTATAATTTTGTTTGAAATTTCCTTTTTATATATAGAGTATGCACTTGTTAAATTAATAACTCCAGGAAAAACACCTTAATCACTAGAACCATCGTGTTATCCCTGGCTGGGATGAAAATCTAAGTCTGTGTCAGCTGTAACATAGGAAGATAAAGATTCAGACTTTCTACTCAAATGACTGATGCTCACCTTTTGAAGACAACAGCCTATCTACCCTACTGAAGATTTGTCCTTGAAAGTTTAGAAACTTTGTGGAACACTTTCTGAAACATTTTTATATCTGTATGTATGGTATTTTATAATTTAAACAGTTGCTTTTTGTACTTAACATCAGGATTTTGGACTGACTTAATGTACATCACATCTTTTCTTTAGGAAAAGGAAAACCACATTATTTTTCCCCAGTAACACTGATGACTGCTGATAGATTACTTTCTATGGCAGCAAATACAAAATAAAAAGATGTTTAGCATTCAGTGAACTTTTGCTTTTGTGTTTTTAGGATGGCACTTCGAGGTTCCACACTTAAGGTTGATGTAGAAGCCTTAATATGATTTTGAATTACACGTGCATTAAAAGATGGATTCTGTAAATGTAGTGTCTTGATATTCACTAGTAGAAATGCTTTCGTGTGTCACATAGCACTTGGCAACGTGTTACCTCTTGCTGCTTTTGTTAAGCTTGATGTTTAGATATCTGGAACAAACTATCAAATGTGCTGTATGCAGAGCTGATCCATAGAAGGGTAAGATTTGTTTTGCATAAACATTTGCTTATGGTACAGAATTCTCAAAGGAGATGGTACGAGTTCATCACACTGCACCACCTCGCTCCTTTTGACAACAGTGGAATGTTGTATGTGACCTTATGCAGACTCTGTAGCATTAAATGGAAAAGCATATGCATTCATTAAGCTTTTGGTAAGGAGATTATGGGCATTCTGATTCTATCTGGGTAAAATGCAGTAAGCTACCTCAACTCTGGTAGGCGGGATTCAATGTGATATGGCTTCTCATGATTTTGAGATAACCTGAAATTTCCTGTTCCTTCAGTACAAATGGGAAGAATCTTTATACTGAGCCAGATTATGCCTTACTCCCCTACAATGGCTATGACTGAGTATAATGCAGGGTGCTTCTCTTGTACTTACTTAAAAATCTAGGCAAAACTGAATTTAGAGTATCTAAAGAAGGAAATCAGAATTTCTCCAGTTGGCTTTGATACCAGTAGACAAATGGTGTCTACAAACTCTATAAAAATTGCGATTATCTTTCTAATTTACACACTGAGATGGTTTTTCTTCTGATACTTGGGGAAAAGTCAATTAATAGCATGAGAAAGGGCACTTTTGCTAGTGGCAAACTTTGTGTCTCCTTGATGACTGTTCACTGTTCTTCATCACAGAATCACAGAATTGTAGGGGTTGGAAGGGACCTCCAGAGATCATCGAGTCCAACCCCCTGCCAAAGCAGGTTCCCTACAGCAGGTCGCACAGGTAGGCATCCAGGCAGGTCTTGAACATCTCCAGAGAAGGAGACTCCACCACCTCCCTGGGCAGCCTGTTCCAGTGCTCCGTCACCTCACTGTAAAGAAGTTCTTGCACACATTTGTGCAGAACTTCCTATACTGCAGTTTCTGGTCGTTTCCCCTCGTCCTGTCTCCATACACTGCTGAAAACAGTTTGGCCTCGCCATTCTGCCCCCCACACCTTAGATACTTATAGACCTGCATCAGGTCCCCTCTCAGTCGTCTTTTCTCAAGGCTAAACAGACCCAGTTCACTCAGCCTTTCTTCATAGGGGAGATGCTCCAGGCCTGTCACCATTTTTGTAGCCCTCCGCTGAACAAAAAACACTTTTACAGTGGAGGAACAAACACACATTATGCTCTGAATACTCATGAGAAGATGCTTTTTGGGAATGGTATCCGTGGTGCTTTAACACTATAAATATGACAATCCTGCTGACTAGAGCAAAGTAAATTAATTCTGGCTTCCACTGAAATGCTGATAGCTATTTTTAAAAGTGGAGGGCTGTAGCATAATATAATTTCTAAGTGGAGTTTTCAAAGACCAGAGAACAGTCAGAGAACAAGTGATTATTGTTTTACTTTAAGCAGTGAGCTTCCATGTATGCCATAAGTTTATATGGTCTTTTTATAGAATTGTGGTGTTACTTCTTGGTATGTAGAATTTAAAGTACTTTTATTGGTCACAGATAAGTGGAGCTGTGTGGCTGAGGCAATGAATTCTGAAGTGCGTGTATGGAAAGGACTGCTGAGTTTGCTGGTTACTTTCTTTTACTTAGCTGCATGTAACTGCAGAAGTTTTTGCACAAACTAAAAAGCATTTGTACTCTGAAGTGTTCATTATGTTTTGATTTGCATCAGAGCTAAGGTGTTCTCAGTGCTAACCAGTATACAAGCATTTGATACCCTCAGTACTCATTAATTTCAGAAGAAAGCATGAGGAGATTATTATCATGTGTTCTCTGTCCCTTGTAAAATGTACAAATAGTAGCAACAACAGTGGGTGAAGGAGAGAGATGAGAACATCACTTTAAATTATAACAGGGACTGGACAGACTTGCAGACAGCACTATTGATATGGAAATCTCTGTAGGCAAGTTAAATGGTGACCAGTTTTCTTTTTTTTTTTTTTTTTTTTTTTTTTAAGGTTTCTTCCTCTTTAAGCCTATTTCCTGAAAAATCAGCTCATTGGAACACAATCTTAGGTCCCACTTTGTATAACTGTTGGTATTCATGCACACCAGAGAGCTGGGGAATTGCGATTTGCTCCTTAGAGCCAGCTGTGCCTAAATCAGGCATGTAAGTAGGATGCACTTATGAGGCAATACACAAATCTTATTTGTTTGGGTGGTGGCTGACATACGCTTAGGATACTCTTTTATCTGAAGTTTCTGAACACTGTCTTGTTTATTCAGCAGCCACCAGAACTGGGTGGTGGGCTGTCTCCCTGATTTTCCAGGCAGGAACTGCATCCCGTCCAGCTCTTCGGGCAATTTTGGTGCCCATAGGCATTCAGCAGCATGTTGCCATAGGCTGCCAGTACCTGGTTTCTTGATGACTGTGGTGCCAACTAGCTTAGAAGCTACTGGTGCCAGGGGAATTTGTCAGCCTGTATTTTCATGGCTAAATCCTTAATTTCTGCATGCATCACTCTTCATGCAGAAAGGGCTTGGCAATTCTCAAGTAAAACAGGTTTTTACAAAGAGAGATAGAGGCTTCTATTGTAGGAGCTGGGCACAGAACATAGAAAGCTATTGATATTGTATGTTCACATCCCTTTTTTCAAAGCCTTTGGATTTTTGCACAATCTGTGGATTCCAAGAGCACAAAGCCCCCTAAGCCTTAATTCATATGGCACTGCAGGGTCCTTGGAACCTTGCTGTAGGAGGCAGTAGTGCCTTTCTGCTGAGCAGTCATCTCCACCAAGTTCTAGGTGGAGTAAAATCAGCATCAAGAAATGAGGCCAGTGTATTTAGGCAGAAGTAACTGTTTTATTCCAAACTGCCAACTCCTGTTTAGAAAAATAAACAGCCATAAGTACTGCTAAATGATCTTTCTTTAGATTACCTTCTTAAAAATCATTTATTATTATTTTTTATTCAAGATCCTTCATTGTTCATCTTCATGATGAACACAGCCCCTCAGCCAGACTAGGGTGTGTTTTGAGGCTGCTTAGTCACCCCTCTTAATTTCAGAGAAAGTCAACAGTTGAATGCAGCATGTTCATTCTCTCTATTGTCTCCTTTCCAAAAAACATTTCGGTGTTGCTCAATCCACAGTTCCCCTTGGTGCCCTTGCTGATGATGAGCAAGCTGCAGGATAGCACCTGTAGTTGGCTAGATGAGATGGCTTAGACTTGACATTCTTGGTATGAGATGAATACAGTGCTTTGCTTGCAGACTTTAACACACAACAGTTCAATGAAGGGAGATATTCACTGCTTCTTTCTTTCTCACACTCTGGAGTAGCGTATACATATTTCCGAGGGGGGAACTGCAACCTGACTGTAGGTCTATATGCAATCATCTGCAGTCTTCTTTGCTACAAAATCCCCTTAACAAGATCTTGTGCTTAAAGTCTGTGTATATCGCTGGAACATTTCCCTCCAGAAAACTTTGTATTGTGCAATAAAGGAATCATTTCCTTCTCTGTCCCCCTTTATCTCTGCTTCAGGAAAAGGTTCTTGAAGGCATGGTTGTAATATTTGTTAAATGCCATGTAAATGAAAGGATTGAAGGAAGAATTTGAGTAGCCAAGCCAAAGAAAAATGCTTTTCCAGATGCGTGGCATGTTGCAGGAACAGAGGGGACTTAGTAATTCCGTGATGAAGGAGATCCAGCACAATACAAGAACTCTGACTGAGATGCCAACTATCAAAGCAGCTTTTTTCTGTCTGTGCCTTCTATGTTTCTCCATCTATCTGGAAAGTGATAGCTGCATGATGAGCTGTAAACACCATCTGTGGTTCATGCTAAGTTTCTTTCACCTCGAAACAAAAGAAAACATGGATTCTTAGCAAGGCAATTTGATTGAGGGAGGTATTTTTAAATGACAACGTGACATCTATGTTCCTACCACAAAAGG